TATGTGTTTCACAGCTTGTCCTGTACACCTCGATGTTAATTGATTCTTGTTGACCTTAAACTTGTCATTGTTTAATCCTTTGTTTTGGTTGTATCTCCCATTCGTTTGAATTTTATCCCTATGTTTGTGTATAATTTTCCTGATTGCTTGTGAATTGAATCAATTTCAATGTGTTTGTTGATTGCTGACTGACCTGAGTGTCAAGCTTCCGAAAATTCTCTGGCATTTTTGGAATTCCCTATATCCAGGATTTCCCCATTTTTCCAGTCAAAGGAGTGTCCACAGTTGTCCACGTGCATTGAAATAAGTGTGGACATGTCATGGCGTTTGACTGCTAATTGATGTTCATGCAGGCGAAGATGAACAGGGCGTCCGCTTTGTTCGATGTAGTGTATTTTGGAGTTGGTACAATATATTTTGTAGATGATGTTTGATTTGTCTTCTTTTGTCATTTAATCCATTTGGTTTGCATAGGACTGATTATAGGGATTTCGTTCATTTGTGTGCAACACCTATTCTGAAGGTTTTCAACAGTCTCGTTGCGGTTTCTGATATGAAGAGAAATACCTGGAGGACGTATTTTAAAAGAATGACTGCCCAGTCAACTTCACCGAAAAACACCGGCCGCATACATCATCAGAATCCAAGTCAAGTACTGAAATCAACAAAAGGATCGCCCTACCATGCATAAAAGCCAAATCAGAAACCACAAAGAAGACAAATCAAACTAATAGGAGATACGACCAGAACAAAGAAGTAAACAATGACAAGTTTAAGGTCAACAAGAATCAATAAACATCGAGATGTACAGGACAAGCTGTGAAACACATATGGAGAAATTTGAACGCCCCACTTCCATTTGAAGTTTGTGCTGATGATGTCTTTCAGAAGAACAATAATAATATTATAATAAAAATATCTATTTCTGCATGTGCAGGTACACGCAATTTTTGCAGGCATGATCTATAAATTACAACATTTGTTGGTTCACAAAATGCTTCGCAACTTATTAAGTTTATAGTTGTTATAAAGTATACTCGTAGGGCACTTGCTGTAAACCGTGATCTTGAGGGGACGAGTACGTCAAGTTTGTTCCAGACGCCAGAAGTTTCATATCTGTGCTCTCAGAGCAAATTTCTGAAGAAAAAAGAGAAACAGAAGAGGTGCAAGGCACTTGGATATGAACGCCAAACGTTGCTTAACATTGTGTAGTAGAACGGACAGAGGTATAGTAAATTAGAATAAATTCTTATTATCTCTTGTTAGAGTGAAATGAACTCAGAGGCTCCATATAAGGGAATGTAGTAATAAAGAACAATGAGTTGTGTCGTTTAACATGTTGGAGTAAGCTCACATGAAGGAAAGGAAGTCAAGGCTGGTACAAGGAAAGCGGTTAATTAGAAGGGTGTGTATATAGAGGGTGACGTGTTAAGAATACTAATGACTGTATCTTTTGTTGTCTAACTTTTTTGTTTATCCGATGACAGCCACACAATCCTAGTGTAAAAGTCCGAGTTGGCAAATTATAGGTTGTCTTAGTAGAATAGCTAATTCAGCATGAAACTGGGAACATGAGTTTGAGTGGTGGTCGTAGGAAGACAATTTATATCACAGATTGATTGACTCGTTCCCAATCACAAAAAGCCTGATACATACAAAGTGTTCTGCCCCAACAAACATGGATAGATTAAAGTCATCACCCTCACCATCAATGCTTGCTGATCAGTAACTCCACCCTCCCTCCTTTTGTGATGTTAGGCTCATTTAAGCTTATTTTTGGATATATGTCGTACCTCACACAATCCTCTGTGTTTCATATTCTGTTGGAAATCACTATTTTTATAATTACCACTTTACAAGCTTATCAGGTAGTTACAAGTTATGGACTGTGGATAAGGCATCGATGAAGTGCTTTAATTGACTATAATATAAAGTATAGTTTGCCAATCAGAGCATAAGCATTGAGAAGGGTATAATGTATGATAGTTGTTTATTACAGCAGGTGGAAAAGTATAGAAGTATATGAGTTGTAGACAATGTAACGAGTGGAGAAACAGTATTAATTGCTAGTCAACATAGTGTACAGAAGAGTAATCGGCTAATAAAGAATAAATAGGAAGAAACTCACGCTAACTTGGTGATGATGTTATTTTGTGTTGTCCTAACCAGTTGATGGGTAACAGGCCACATAGATACAAGACCACTGGTAGTAGGCAGTAGATTGTGTGATTCTCTTGACTTTTTAGGGTAGTAATGAGTGTCCCTTAGCGACCCAGTTTAGTTGAACAGTATCGATAGGTCGAGTGAGTTACCTGTCTACTTCAAGTGGAGAAATAGGGTGGTGAAATTAACTGATACAACTGCGAAGTAGGAAAAATAAGGCAAACTAAACTTGAAGTCCATTTCGGTCTAGAAATGGAGAGAGCCTATGATGTCGTGTTCAGAAGAACGATGAAAGCTCCACTAACAAACCTTCCAGCTCAGAGAACAAAACTCCATCAAAAACTCTAGTTCTGGCCTGTCAAAGAGAGGCTGCATAATGAAATAAGCTTTTCGGATGAGAGACAAATTTTTCGATAAGCTTTATCTAATACTGAAGCCTGTCTTCTCTTATTGCCTTTTCGCATATGTTCCTTGTATGTTTGTATTGCCTGTGCGCGCCGTTTTTATCAGTCTGTTTGTATTCTGCCCAACAGTGCCTTTTGTGGCTTAGCAACCAAAGAGTGTGGTACTTGATGACCGTTGGTTGATTGTAGATTATGGGGACCAGTTGAGGAACAGACTGCTTTGTAGCACATAAGATCGTGTTCAGTGAGGAATCCCAATAAGCCTCTACATCAAGTTGAGTGTGAATTTCCCAGTCCATCTGTTGTAGATTGTCCTGTAAAGCTGACACATTTAACGTTTGAAATTTCAGAGCCTGTTGTGGGCGGGATGTCTCGGCTCAGTTTTACTGATAAAACTGAGAACTGCGATGGCGTGATTGCTTCTCCCCAGGGGAGCTAGGATTGAGAGATTGCCAACTAGGAATTTTTAGTTTGTAAATACGTAGTCCAAGCGCGACGGCCTCCGACTGTTTCTCAAACGAGTTGCCGACTTCATATTTCCCAATAATCTCAGATCCCCAATGAGGTTGAAGAAACGAGCTTCATTAGATTTCTCACCTCCAATATACATATGTTCCGCTAAACTGACTTTAGGAAGATTAAAGTCTCCTAGAATCAAGATATGAAGAATCCGAGACGAGTAGATCGGGATAATCCTTCCAGCATACGATTCTCATACTCGATTTCAGCAGTGGGCTTCCTATAAATGTGTTATGTTCGTTAAACTTGAATGCTACTACTGATTCGTTTTACTCGGAACGGAATGAAGAATCAAGGATTCAGCGACTCGATAGGCTATAATGTAGAAAAGTGTATTGTGCAGACAACCAGAAGATACTAGGTCCCTCAAGCACACAAATGAAGCGTATTTATACAATATATATATATAATCAACGTTGCCATGGTATTTTCTAAACATTTAATCGATAAGTTCGTCAATTGACTGTGTGCGTGGGTGGTAAGAAATGCCCATGTGTACATCTGCATACAAGCTCCACAAAGATAAAATTACAAAATATCAGTTTTGGGGATCTAACGTCCTCAACAAAATGACTCCAACTAGACACCTAGAGGTGGTAGACAATCTTACTGAGCACCATACAAATTCATCAAGATTAATAAACTTTTGGTTGTGCACTTGATAAACCTCCATGCGTGATCGTAAGAATAAGGCTACTCTAATTACTGTTTTTATGTGATTGCGAAACAAAGATATACCGAGTATTGCTAGCTCCTAGTACGTAAACCGACTAGATATCCAGGTTTCAGATATTCCTATCAAATGAGTATCGTTAGCATTACTGAGTTCGCGTAGCTCATCCATTTTATTCGGTAAACTCGTGGCGTTCATGTAGAAGCAGTTTATTCGTTCAATTTGAAACGAGTGAGCTTCCCCATTCTGTTTGTCTGTATGAGTCATATGTGGATAGACAGATAGCCTACCCATAAAATTTTTCCGAGTTGGTAGCCCCTGTCCTTTCCACGTCTTTTACGATCAAGACCGTTCACAAGAGGAATGGTCAGCTCCAACTTGCTTTTGTGTTTGATTCTGGCGTCATGTGGCCTATTTGGATGCACATTGATTTCAGATGGCAACCGACGTCTGTTGGCACGAAATGCTTCCAGAGTTGTAGTTGCTATATGGTAGGATGGGAAGGCTACCTTCTTTAGCCGAGGTCTAGAAATTACGTCCTTCATGGCTAGTCTCATTACTTGTTGAGTCTATATGTTACTGAGCTCCAAGGATTGCTTGATGAATTTCCATTCCCTAATATCGGAGTTTATATGGTCAGGGACTGGGTTTTTCGGCACACCTTTCACAATGATATTTCTTCCGCGGAAAAACGTCTCGCGAGATCGCTTAGATATGTTCCGGATGAGAACGCGCTCAAGATACTGTATGTCAGGGAGTATTCTTGCATTCTCATCTGATTTCAGTAAGTAACTAGCTAGTAGGAGTGTTACACGATATTGCCTTGGGTAATTCTGATGCTTAAGTTCTGTGGTTACCGAGGGTGCCACTCAGAAGTTTATTTCAACTGACAAATAATTCATCATTTCTGTCCGACAAAATCAGGAGTTTTAGCTCGGTTGGTCAACAAGATCGTCAGTATTGTCCTATTAGCAAATCATCGGTCAGTGACAGCCATGACCGTCAGACTCAGATTGTAGCAATTTAGAAATACTCAGTGCATGCTTAAAAATCGCTCAATTACCTTCAGCACATCCACGAACTAGTGATTAATGACACGATCTCCATCAGTCTCCATAGTACATTGAACAGTTGTTCGACTCATATGATAGTGACAGACACAATCACAATCATATTATTTTTCGAAAAAATATCCACCAAAAAACGCAACGAAAGTTCAAGGCACATATAGAGATATTTATGTTTTTCTGATTTTGTTTTAGTCAACTTGCGGTGAGGTTATATCCGTTTGCCATACTGTCAGTTCATACTGTCTGTTTCCGTGGTTGACGAAATGGGGAGACGTAACTCTGAAAACAACGATCGTCGTACTGAACAATTCCGCAAGCTGTTCATTGGAGGCCTGACTCCTCTTACTACAGAAGCCAAGCTGAAGGACTTCTATTCACAGTGGGGCGAAATTGTCGATGTTGTGGTGATGAAAGATGGTCGAACCAACCGCTCCAGGGGTTTTGGTTTTATCACTTACAAGGAACCAGAAATGGTGGATGCTGCTCAAGCTAATAGACCACATGAAATTGATGGTAAAACCGTTGAAGCCAAGAGAGCTATGCCGCGTGAAGATTCAAATAGTCCCGAGTCCCACATGACTGTAACGAAGCTGTTTGTAGGTGGCTTGAAAAAAGATGTAACTCATGAAGAACTGCGTGAATATTTCAGCAAGTATGGTAACATCACTGAGTGTGAGGTTGTTGCTTGGAAGGAGTCGGGCGAGTCACGCGGTTTCGGATTCGTCACGTTTGATGATTACGACCCTGTTGATAAAGCTATACTGTATAAACCACACCATATCGGATCCAGTAGGGCGGACGTGAAGAAGGCTCTCAGTAAAGAGCAAATCAACACAATGAAGAAGAAGCAAGAGTCCCGAAATGACTACAATAACAATTATGGTGGTGGTGGCGGTTATGGACCGATGGGTGGAGGCTATGGCGGGTATGACGGAGGTTACGGGGGTTCCTACGGAGGTGAGTAGTTTACTTGATGGTTCTATCGACTAGGTGGTCCTTATGGTGGATATGGCTCGAACGGTGGTGGTGGTGGCGGTGCCTACGGGGGTGGGAATTACGGAGGGGGTTGGGGTCCAAATCACATGAATGGAGATGGTCCTGGCTGGGGCCAGGGAGGAATGGGTGATGGATTTGGGCACTACGGGAACCAACAAAACTACGCCGGTGGTCCAATGCGCGGTGGCCCACCAGGCGGTTACCAGAGGAATGCTCCCTATGGAGGTAAGTTCACACTCCGTCCAAACTAATCTGTCTTTTACATAGGGGGCTATGGCCGCCGTTAATTTCAGTCAGGTAAGAATTTATTAGTATGAGCATGTTTTCAACGTCTAATTGCTTCTTCATATCCGTTGCAGGGTTAGTATGGCCTCAACAGTTTGGTCTAGGCAGTTCTACTAGCAGAGGAGACAGAGTTGTCCTAGCGCCCTCAAGTTCTAGGTCAGCCAGCAGAAAGTCGACAGCCTGTCTATAGCTGAGGAGGCCAGGGATCCTATTATTCACTGTGTATATACTGTTAACTGTTAATTTTCACTGCATGTGCAATCGAGCGTTCTTTTTAACTGTCATGTCCGTTGTGAGTTAGCATCCAATCAAGAGTGACTTTCATCCTTAAGTGTAAAGTTTCGTATCATAATTGCATAAGCCCATGCAGCGTCATTTTTTAACCCAGCTTTGTCACTAGTATTAAAGGAAATAAAAGTGTTGAAGCCAGTTAGTCTTTTGAGTTATGAGTTTTGTAATTGGTAGTGACGAGGGAGATGGATGCTTGTTGGGCGGGAGACGAGGTTGACTTGCTAGGTCTTCCAGCCCCTTGTGTTAAGCAAGCCTGTCACTATGTCAGGCACTTGAAAGTGAGCAGTTTTAAAATTCGTTGTAGAGCCGTAAATTTGGGTCCAGAAAGACATGTAGCAAGGTCGAAACCAGGGTATCCATTCACTTTGTTCACAATTTTTGAGTGGTTTTGCAGATCTCGCGGTGCCCCTTGGAGGATTGACACTCGTCCGTGGCGTGGGACGCAATGGACTCGGAAACTTGTATGGTTGAACCATCGTTATGTATGCTGTGAAACATTGTCAAAAATAAATTTACGGATTAATTCCGCATGTACAACTATCTTCTTTTTTTATTACGGTTGTGACTGGGTGAGTTATACGGTTTTGGGTGGACAAGTGGGACCAGTCTTTTCTTTCGCGTGACAGTTCGTTCACTGATTCATCTCATACCGGCGTTCACGTCCCGTAGCGATAAGTCGTCGGTGTTCCTGTATATGAAACAGACAGGAGCATAGGAGAATGCTTGTCAACTAGTGGGGTGTTACTTTGGATCACTGAGGGATTGTCAAGTTCCCTCAGACCTTTTGAAAAGCTCCCGAGACTACAACGTGCTACAGGGGTTGGCTGAGTTTAAGGGGTGGGACGTGTGATGAGAAGCCAACTCACAGTTGCACTCCGAGTTGCGAGTTCCCTTTGAGGTGAGGTGGACTCGCTAGGGGGTGTCGACCATTTGCGATGTCAAGCGGTCGCCTACTTCGCGGAGGGCACAGATCACACCGGTCTGACGACTCATCGTCAGCTACTGTGCAAATTATTCCTGTGTTTCTGAAGTAGATAAAACACTGCGCAGTAATACGTTCCGAATAAAACTTGGAGACTAGGTGAGAGGCCATGCCATCGAGCTGGTCAAGTAGATTCCAGATTTAGTGGTGATGAATCTGCTCTTAACCCACGTTTTCACGATGAAAGTATGTTCTGAGATGGTCAGGAACTAAATATTCAGCTCTGATCTAAAACGAACATTAAGTTGTCGGGAGAGGTGCAAGGCATCTCCATTAGTTAGATCTTTCGGTTCGCGAGGATTCATTGTCTTTTTTTGCACTTGTTTGTTGGCTGAAGTCTGCGAAGGCTGTAATTTTTTGTGTGAGTTGTTTGATTGTTCATTAGTTAGTTCTCTACTTATATGTAAGCTAATGTGACCGATAATTCCAGTCGTGTTTTATTTCGGCGTTCCTCCGTTCTTACCTCTGTTCTGATGCATTTCGTTCATTAGGTACTATAAAAAGGTGGTCGCAGTTCAAATCGTACGTCTTATGTACTTAGTTTTCCTTCCTCTGCGGTATTTGGGGTTCGTTTTCGCAACTGTTTTGGTTGATATGCGTCATAATGTGAAGCTTGATAAATGCTCTGTTCATTGTGTATATATGCAGCGGAGTTATTACACCTATGGGATATGTTTAAGCTTTTTTCCGAATGTCGATGTTATAACATCACTTTATATTTAAAGTGAATAAGAAATTGATTTTATAGTAGCCTAGTGTACATTGAACAGAAAATGTCAGCTATTTGTGTGGAAATACACAAGTAAGACTGCTATGACCACTTTCCTCAATAACATTTGCATGTGGGAAAGTGAGTAGTGTTTGAGTAACTTTCGTTAGTTTGCAGCTAAAGATTCTTGCTGTTCACGTGATCACGAGAAGAATATTCGGGAAGTCTTAGTAATTATGACGTAATCGCTTGCAGAATTATGTGTTCACAATGAAGCCGTTCATCTCAGGATAGTCTTTCCTGTTCAGTTTCTTTCCAAACCAATACTGAATTATAAGGTGTTAACAATCTAATAAAAGATTAGGAGTGTTTTGTTTCTTCTTGATATATTTTGAATATATCTACTTTCTGCTTAACTTACAAACCGTAGAATTCTAATGAGGCTTAAATTAACAACAATCAACATCAGGCACAAAGTTGCGTGTTAGTGGTTTATACAATTTTCCTGTAAACTAAAAGAAATGTCAAACACTGTAGATACTTCTCCAAAACTTCCTTAGATTTTCAAACGTAATGCCGTTCACTACTCCCGCAAGAGGACAACGCGGCCTTCCTGTGCTTCCAGGTTTTCAATCGTGGTCTAATATTAATCGGTGCGTGATCTCAATCAGGAAATTAGTAATCTCCACAACACTATGCTGTTATAATATATGGTTGAAATGGAGGACCGCTAACATTACATGTAGTCACAGAATGTAAGATCTAATATTTGACTATTTCTCAAGTCATTTATGTTTTATGATTTTAATTAAGTTGTAGGGTGGACTTATTATTACTTTTCATATTCAAAACTCCCTAGTTTTGGATACATGCTATGACGAGACTCCTCAAAATATTTAGTGTAATAATAGTGGACAATTGTAGTCATTTTTTCATGTGTTGTTTTGAAGTTATTTAGTTCATATATGTATAGGTGACTAATTTACAGTACATTTGACCACTAATCTATGTGCTCATGATGTTCATGACGTTATGTAATATATTGACTGGCACGTTTCATCATGATATGATACAGTATTAGAAAATTTTGGTGAATAAAAAATTATAGACGACATCTCACAGATGAGAGAGAATTTTATGACAAGGATATTTGGGATAATACTGAACTCCAGACAAGGAGCATTGTCTGTCTTAAGAGTATCAGTTGAATTGACGGAGATTTTCTGATCATGATTAGAATTTTAAAGAAGCTGCGTCCTGTAAGCTGAATGTTGTAATCGTAAGACTCATCATAGCTCAGCTTGAGGATTAAATACTGTCATAAAGTAGTATCTGTTGGTCTTTACTAAGAGCTTAAAAGAGCGTTACAAACTAACAAATATATATGCGTGTGTTTGAATCAGTTAACCTGTGTTAAGGTGAAATTAATTCGTTATGTTAAAAGCGCATTTCATAACTAGTTAAAATAATAGACAAAAAACCTGATGTCAACAACTACCAGTTTATAATTTCATATAATGGCTTTGCAAACAAAAATTAAATATTGATTCTATTTAAAACCATCTACCATGACATTAAGATATATCTGTACAGACGACAGTGTATATGGACAATATACCTTAGTAGTAAATGTTGATAAGTGTTTAGTGCTTTTTATTGAAATCGGTTGTTATTTAGGGTTTCATTGGTTAAAACCTTCTATGACGTAACTAAACAAGCTTAATTAGTGTTTTTTAGAATATAAGTTTAAATGAATCCATACAGTTTGATAAGATTAGCGTTAGGATGGTGGATTAAAAAGAAATAAACATTTATTGTAATACGATTTTCACTTTTGATCACAAGTTTATCATTCATCGAATAAAGTATTTCAACCATACAGTCTTATTTTCTTGATTGCGATCATAAACCGATTGATGTTAGATCACCATTGAAAACCTGGAAGCACTAGACAGCCATTTTTCCGTAATATGGGACTCATCGGCACTGCTTATTCACGATTCCACACGCGAGGCCCGAACACAGGACCTTCGGTCTCGCGCGTGGACGACTGAACCGGCACCCAGTGGTGTTAATGTCTAACTTCGAGTCCCGCGCACGGGATCGTGGATGCGCACTACTGAGGAGCCCCATACTTAGACGAAATGGTCGTCCAGTGCTTCCAGATTTATAATGGTGGTCTAGCATCAATCGATTTATGATCTCAATCACAAAACATAATAATCTCTACAACTCCATACTGATAATCATACAATCATTTGGATATTTTATATCTAATCAAAATCTCTATCTCTCTAATATTGTTCAAGAAGTCAGTCAATTAGTTGTTCTGCTATTCTATTATTCAAAACTTATCCAATAGGCATTGGTAAATCAGTTTTCTAAATAAAATCGTGTTTGTAATTTTTCAAACTGATTGAATCACCTAGAAAACCCGAAATCCATAAACTAATATAATGACTTAGGATTCAGTTGGTTCATAATAGTCCTTCAAATCGAGACATATGAAGTGAAAAAGCTTCCACGCCCTTGGTCGTTTTTATCTTACTCATTGGTCTCACAACTTGCGATCCATTTCCGATTTCAGTTTCTCCAACTATGCACTTTTCTGTTTGTATTCTGTTTTAACCGTTTAATTACAGCAAGTACATTTTGTTCAAATTTTCCAGCACTTCATGTTACTCGGTATAATACCTGCTGATTCTAAACATTTTGTATTTTATTATTGTAATGATTGTTATACCCGTATTTAAGTTAATAGTATATAACGGTTATCTTTATATTATATTATAAAAAAATACTGTCTCATGCTTTTATTCTAGACTTTGTTCTTACTCATTCACACCGTACTGCTTTCGTGCTGCATTTATCTACTTTAGAACAACTACAGTCAGTTGATCGTGAGCGGCTTGTGTGTAGTGATGTGCTCTGGCTTCAGACTGCTTTATGCCTTACATGATTTAGCACCCATTCGTCGTCGGTTTGTCGTTAACTTGAGAAAAATAGACAGGCTACTAAACCAACAATAATAAGAAAAATACAACAGAACTAATATACTGAGTGAAAACGTGTTTCTACTTTGCATGATGTGTAATCATTTTCATCTTCCTCCATAATTTGTTCCAGTGAATGAAGTGAAGAGGAAGACCTAAAAGCACATTAAACTGGGAATTAGAGGCAAACATAAAAACGAGTAGCAATCGGGAACACCTGGAAAGATTCCAGGACAGAGTTGGTTGTAGAATTCTAGTCGACGGCTTATGTTCCTCCATGAGGGGTAACAGGCATAAGGAAATAAGTAGAAAGTAGGTAATGAAATATAAATCCTATTTGCTTCGTATTCATTCTGTCGATTGTGCACGTTGATACAACGTAAATAATCAAGGCTGAATACCGATTCTACCTAGGATATGTATATTTCAGACATGATGCTATTGAAAGAAAAAACACTCAGTAATAGATGCAACGAATGTGTAAAGCATTAAAGTTCTGTAGCATACCTACTAAGCTAGCAATAAGTCTACTCAGTTCTTATAGTTCATGTAAGAATAAAGATGAACTGACAGAAACACATCTACCATGTATATGATATATGGTCGTAGTTACAAGTGAGGTATTGGAATGGACATATATGAATGAAAGAATAACTTTAAAGGCTTACTTGTTTTGTCATCTTAGCACTGCTCAAAAGGATTGGTGTACAAAAGTGTCCGAAAAAGAGTGTAATGAATATAATTCGTCCATAAATCAGAACAAGGCTGCTAAATGCTGATCAACCAGATATGGTTTCAACCTTGATGATTTTAATGCTGGTGAGGCTATAATTCATGGATAAACCAATGAAAT